ACTACTACTACTCTACTACTGCTACGACTGTTACTACTACTACTACTACTACTACTACTACTACCACTACTACTACTACTACTACTAGTACTGCTGCTGCTACTACCGCTGCTACTACCTCCACCACTCCTCCTCCGCTCTACTACGACTTCTGCTACTGCTACTGCTACTATGATTACCACTACCGCGTTCTTCCTCTTCTTACTACAACGACGACGGCAACTACTACTTCTTCTACCACTCCTACTACTCCTACTACTCCCACTCCCCAACTCTCTGACTACTCCCACTCGTCCTACTACTAATTATTCCTACTAATCTCCTCTTACTACTCCTACTGCTCCTACTACTCCTGCTACTCCTACTACTCCCAAGACTCCACTCCTACAATACGACAGCTCTTGCTTTTTGGAGCTACGTTGAGAGAGGCACGTACTGGTTGCAGGTAGCATCTGATGTCTATTATGCGCCAGATGAATGAAGGAAGCTGTTATTGGTTCCAATCAGAGCCATTCAATGACAAAGCGAACATCGTCAGCATCATTGGGCGCCCAATTCAGAATCTAGGAGGAAGCGCATGAGCATCATTGGAGGAGGTACCGTTGTTGTTCATGCCATGGATGTTGTAAGTCTGAGCCGATAAACGAGCATCGTGAGCATCATTGGGGGCCACGCGGAGAAGCTAGGCGACCATCATGGGTGTTGTTGGTTGCAATGTAAGCCGGTAAACAACAAAGCGCCCAATCGGAACGTATGAGCGAGTGGGAGTTACCGTTGCTGTTAATGCTTTCGATGTTGCCAGTCTGAGCAGGTAAATGAGCATCGGGGCTCACACGAAGGACTCGCTAAGCCCGAGCCGGCAGGCGATCACGAGCACCCCGTTTAAGGCCGGTCTGAAACACCACTTTTGAACGGCAGCAGGAGCACAAAATGTGTTGCCGCAAGCGACCAGGAAATTCCGCCAAGTTGTCCAAATTTGGGGGCCTAAGCCTAGTAGACCCAGTACTCCTACTACTCCTACTACTCCAACTACGACTCCTGCTCCTCCTGGTTTTGCCCCTCTAACAGTACTACCACCACTGCTGCGGCTACGGAAACTGCGACGGCGACGGCGACTACGTGAGTCCTGAAATATATGCTTTTTACTCGAAGCCACGGCTGGATCATGGGCTGGGGCCGCGGCCCAAAGTACACGCCACTCGCCGCCACCATCCAAGGCTTCAGCCAGCTTTCTGAGCAGGTCCTCTACGAAGACGATGCGAACATGCAGAGGTAAAGACCATCCCACCCGTCCTGGTTGGGCCTGACAATGCTGCCAAAGGCAACATACACCACTGGCCCCTTCTCCTCCTCGCCTAGGAGCCATTGCAGGGGAAACGTGCAGACGGTCCTCGGGCCATCTCGGGCCAAGGCTGAACAGCCATTGCAGGAGGTCCTCGTCCACTGTAGACAATGTAGCCTCGTGTCTGCTCGCTTTGCTGCGCTTTTCTGTTCCACGTCCTAGCTTGCAGCCTTGAACGTCTCGCGATCCCGCTGCAGCTCGCCGTTCTCCTGCCACAACTCTTGACAGCTGGGCTGATGAAATGTAAAACCCTACAGCCTACACACGCGACTCTCGAGCTCCAGTGGCACAGGAAGTGGCAGCAGCGGGCTCGTGAAGAGGCTGCGTTCCCTTCCACCGCTCTTCAGCTCTACTGGACATCATGTGAACGGCATGCGAACAGCAACACAAACTCCGCTGGAAACCTGTTCTCTTGCTGCCCCACCACACTCCTGGCGGATTCCAATGAAGCCGGACCGTCATTGGTTGCTGCTGGGCACTGGCAGCCTGGCCTAGTGCTTGGGTAGAGCTCGGCCAAGTAGGTGGCATTTGGAAGGTTCTTGAGCATCGAGTTTGCCACCTCAAAAACTGTCTGTCGAAGACCCGCTGACACCTCCTCACTTCCTCGGGGCAGCCTTGATGGGCAGCTTGAGCTTCTTCGCCAAAGGACCAGTCATCATGCCGATGAACTCTGGTGGAATAGCTTGAATCTTAGCTGCTGTCTTAGCAGGGGCTTTCAATGAGATGGCTTTGAGCTGCGCCAGGCCGACTGGAGTTCTTAGCCGCAGGCCGTTGCAGTGAGTCCGAAGAGGGTCATGTTCTGCGAGTTGGCCTCCGCTGGACTGGTTGGGTCTCCAGTACCAGCTGGCGTTCAGAATGCGGTGCCAACCACACTCTCTGACCCGCCTGCGGGAGTTGGCTGGGATCCTTTCCTTCATTCAAGGCCTTGATCACCTCCACTGGTAAGCCAGTCGCCTCAAGCCACGCTTCAGTTCTACTCCAAATCGGAGCGAGATTGAGGAGAGCCAACAACAATTGCAGTCACAACCGGCCTTGGCCATCACTTCGGGAGGCAGCTCCTTCGAGGGATCACTCCTTACAGGAGACAGATCTCGTCGCCACCGGCGCATTCGCTCGTTGCTTGGAAGCTGCGACTTTCCCTTGCCCTCTTTGAAGTGCGAGTGGTCCTCGCAGGATCTCAGGCGGATCTCAGGCTGACATCTGACACGCCGGTCCAAAAAAGCCCACCTCGGGGATTCCAGGTGATTGCACCGGAATGAAGCTAGCACCCTCCGCATGGCACCAGGCAGGAATTAAGGCCTCAGAGATTCAAGGCATTGAAGAGTTTAGGGCGCCGAGCTGAGGAAGACACGGCAGCATCCGGCTCAGAAGCACTTGCGAAAACCATGAAGCCTACTTGTCCACAGAGACATGACAACGACATCAGTGACATAAAGTGTGCTCTTAAAGCTCTCACATGTCTCGTAACAGCTACACTACACGGACAAGTCCCTCATCAACACATCATCTTCGAGGGGAGGGGAGAGGGGAGGGGAGACACTGGGGAGGGGGAGGAGGTCGAGAACCCCGAAGAAGTGATTTTGCTGGGGGGCGTGTTTAATTGCTGCGCGTCACCACAACATCCCAAGTTTGTACATGCAGTTGAATACATCTTCACACATCTCCGCGTTTCAGGCACCACGTGCTCTGACCATCTCTGACCGACCTCGCCCGGTCTCCTAACGCACAGGAATTCAGTTGCTTGAACTCTAACCCGAAAACCTTCTTGGGCCCGTCTGCGATTCACTCAGGGATCCGTCAAAGGTCTCTCAGAAACTTAAATGCTTGCCAACATTGCTTTCGAGCTCGATCCGGAAGTCGCAAACCAGCTACTGCAGGAATTAAAACCTTTCCACAACGTCTGCAGACATGTCGCCGTTGTCGAGCAGAAATTGTCACAAACCACTACCTGCGTGCAGGGCAGAGCTGAGATCTCCAGGAGACAGAAATGTCCTTTGCATGAGCTCCGGACATCAGGCTTGACTGCACCTTGGCTTGAGTGCCCAAGCCTTTTCAGGATACTTCATCAGATGTACACAACCACAGTGCAAACGTGACGTGTTGCCTGCACATGTTGGATGAACTCAGGCTCTTGAATTCTGAATCCATCGATCCCCCAGGCGTGCCAGGCGTGAAAGTTTTAAATATCAAGCCTTTCATCCGAAACTTAGACTTTTGGGATTGGACCCGCAACAGCAAGCCATCATCTCTCTGCAGCCCCAGGCACAGAGCGTACGCAAACAAAAGGAGAAATATGATGCCAGTGGGTCCTGCAACGCCGCAGGAGGCACTGATTGGCATTGCAGCTTCAAGAGATCCTGCAGGCCCGTCCTGGGCTTTGTCTACAAACTGCGCCATGCCCCTGCAGGTTCCAGCGACAGCCGTAAGCAACGCTCAGCTTGCCCAGGCCCGGCCTGAGGGCAAAGCTGAACATGGAGGATCCACCTTCTTCCTGCTCGGTGTCGCCAGGGCTTCTGGCAACTTCCCGAAACCCGTCCTGGCTCGGCAAGAGGGCACTCGGACTCGGACTGCCCACGGTGCCACGGCTTAGCACAGGATTTTATGTCGTTGTTGTGCGCTGTTGTCTCTCGTCCGCGACACCGCAAAACATGTGGGCATGCGTTCTGCTGGATCTGCCTGCTGTCCCTCCACTTGGCAAGCCAGGCGAGTAGATCCATGCGTTGATAGAAATGTCAGAAATGCTAGAAACATACTGCCCGGATCTCTGCACAAGCCTTTTCGACACCGAAACGTGGCCACACGGAACACACTTTGCGCAACCGAAAAAGCTTTCTAATTTCTGGTTGGCAAACTGCGACTCTAAAGATTGCTTGTCTCTTAAGCGAGCTTTGTGTGCAGTGGCCCACATGGGCAAGTTGGCCGAAACTTCTTGCAAGCCTGATAGGCCGCGAGCCCGAGTGCGTTTGCAGCTTCCCTTGTCACTTTCCCGGACCCTGAGACGACAGGCCCGGACGGAATTCCCGCTAGCTTGTCGCACCGAGACCCGCCGCGACACGATTGGGGCTTCTCGTAGGTTCGCCACATTCTATTTTTGAGTGGGGTTATCGCGCTGGCGGTCGACTCCCAGAACTTTGAGTGAGTACCCTTGTGGTGGTGCAGCAGCTACTCTTGGCCGCGTGCGCCTCCATGAGTTGGAAAAACTCTGAGGTGACTCGCTCGTCTCCCTCGGTAACCTAGCAGAAGGCTTCATTGCTACATGTATGTGCCGCTCAAAGACATTGGCACAGATCATCACGGTTGTGAGACTGAAAGTATGGTGAAAGCTTTCGAGGCCGCAGCATGAACGGTGAAGCCCAGCTTCTTCAGCTCGGCCTTGGATAACGGCCGCGATCTTTCAGATCACCCATGCAAGCACCCGGGTCGATGCCTCGTCTTCCGGAAAACACGCGAAATGCACGTTGAAACCAGGACGTCCAACGAACCAGAGTCCTCTGAAAGCGCTGGGAAGGCACGGCAAGACGCCTCCTCTCCAGTGAAATTTGGCCTATGCGTCGCAAGTGGACGATGTGTCCCTGTCAGCTGTCAACTCTTTGTTTGACACGACTCGACACGGGAGAGCGGGGCCTTCCAGGGGATGGAGAGGAAGAGGATGGTGCCCTTCACGCGGCTCGGATTCAACCACCAGGGCAGGCCTGACCCGGACACGACGGGGCGGGACGGGGCGGGAGGGGGCGGGAGGGGAGAGCCGACCGTTGATGCCTTCCGTTGGAACTGCTCGAAGCAGCTCGCGGCCCTCAGCAGACAGCGAGCAGACGGCGAGCAAACAGCGAGCAAATAGCCGAGGGCCGTGTCGGCCGGGCCAAGCCCCGCCTTCACCTTCAGACTGACCCAGCCAGCATCGGGCCCAGTGCCACCCACAAGCTCGAAATGAAGTCGCTCACCTTTAAGCTCCTTCGAAGGGTGGACAAAATGCCTGAACAAATCTCATCCCAGACAGAAGTCGGTCCTTCTGCCTGATGACGGAGCCGTTGGCCAGTCGTAAGGGCAGCTCTGCAGAGGAGAGCTTCTCACCTTGGAACTCGCAGCACCCAGGAAGCTCGTCGTGTGGCGAAGGGAATGTCGGGCCTTCACGCACTAGGATCCCGCCGCCGCCGGATCCACCGATGACCTGCAAAGGCTTTGACATGTGTAACTGCCGCCGCTGCCTGAGGTTGTACAGACGGGGTGTCACACCTCCCATAGTGGCCCTCCGGTCATCAAATGTGCTGCGAAAAAACGATTGGCAAAAGACCAGTGCAAAGTCTGTTTCGGAGACACCCATAACTTCAACAGCAAGAGAAGCGCTGAGTGCTAGCTTGGCTTTCGTTGTCGGGGCTGTCTTACCAACGACAGGTTGACGCCAGTCTCCAAGCGATGCTGCCGTGTTTCAAGAATATTCTGTACGAGGAAGAGGTTTAAAGCTAATGCCCCTGTCGAGGTTGTGGCCATTCAGTGTAAGTTCGCCTCAAGCTCCAACTGGTGCGTTTAAGTCCGTACATTTCGCCAACATGCAACTCCGGCTTTGGTCCTGAGCCAAGAAAGCTTCGCGTCCGAAGTGCTGCAGAACGTGCTACGAAGACCACCGTTTCCCAAAACCTCACTCGTTCGACATCTGGACTGCTGCCGGAAGTGTAGACGTTCAGCCTATCTGTCCTACACATGGGCCAGGAAATCGCACATCTTGGGAAGTGGCAGATGCACAACGCTGCAAGGCGATTGCGGGTAGCACCCTGGCAGAAGTTTGGACGCTCTCCAGAATGGAGTCGAAGAAGGCAGGCTCCTCTGACGTCTGACATTTGCAGTCGCGATATTATCTTCATGTTGGGGCACCACTTCCTCGACTCTCTTCTCTGCAGGACCACGCACCGGGCCGTGAACCACTGCCTGAAAAAGAAGGGACAACACTGGACAACACTGACCGTCACTGACCGTGGCCGTTTTTTTTTCCGACTCCGAGTCACCCAACCTCCGACTTCCGGGCTTGCGGTGTACCGCTACCGAACGAGAATGTCCTGCAGATGTCAGAACGAGTCCAGCAACCTGCCATGACCGGTGACCAGCAAAGACTAACACGATCTGAACCTCTTCGAAAGCGAGTTCGCGGCCAAGGCCTCCGCTGGCACAAGAAATGCGCACTGCAAGACTTGCCTTCTGAGAGCGCCAAGCGGCCAGTAGGGCAACCAGAGCACAGCAGCGCAGCAGCTTCGGCCATGGCCTCGAGCAGGCCATGAGCCCGCAAGGCCCCCACTAGGCCCCCACTAGGCTCCACTAGGCTCCAATGTCCCAAAGTCCAACCTGGGCGATGCCCATCTCCGTGACAAACGTCCCGGCTGCGTCATGGCTGTCTGGACTTGCAAAAATGCTGCAGAAGGACGCAGGGGAGTGCTCGACAAGGGAAGCAGCACTTTGCCAGATGCTTTCGAGATCGGGCTCTCTGCATCAGCAGCGGAAGGCTTATGATTCAATTAAATTAAATACCACTTGGGCTCCTTGAGGCCAGGAAAGCACTTCGTTTTGCTCGCCGCCATCGACTTTGGGCTGCCGGAGAGCAGATGTAACTTCCAGCAAGGCCCTTGTGGGCCTATCTGGCTGCATCGTCCGCAGGAATGGCCACTGGATTCCTTGCGACGAGGCACGGAAGGCTCAAGAGTCGCTCAAGACCTGCACGGTTCTGCCCACGATTCCAGGAAGTCCTTTGTCCATGACCCAAGAGAGACCCCAGAGGTGAGATTTGCTCATCGAAGGGACCGGAGGCCTGTCAGGAGCGTGATACGGCACGACGTGAAGGTCTGAAGACGGAAACAACGTGAGGTGGGCACGCCTTGCTCACTGGCAGAGTGCAGGAAGCCCCCCATGAGCTGCGAAGCGCAAACACTCCACCTTGCCAGGTATTGAAATCGCGTGGATGCGACACTCTCAAATTGGAGAGTCGCACTCCGGTTTCACCACTGTGGGCTCGGGGATGGACTGGGCTGGCTCTCTGTCGTCCCCAGAAGGGTAGGGAGCGGTGCCCCCGTCCCCGCAGCCGACCTGCACTCCCTACGGCACAGCACGAACATCGGAAGTCCTTCTCTAAGCCCGTCGGGGTAACGGCGCAGCTTCGTTCGCTCGCGTCGGAACCTGCATCGCCACAAAGCGCACTCGCCACAAGCCCCTAGCAATCCGTAGCAAACATCGAAGGCCAGTTCGGATGACGGCACTTGATTTGCCACGACGACGTATGCTAATCGCATACTGATGCAAGCCAGCCGAGCTCAATGCATGCTATGTAATTTTGTGTCTATGCACCTTGGTATGTCTGCACGGATGCACCTACCTGTCTACCTATCTATCTAACTGCCTATCTAACTGTCCAACTACCGAACTATCTGTCTATCTATCTATCTATCTACCGATCTATCGATTTATGGATCTATCTGTGCATGCATGCATGTGTGCTGTATGTATATATGCATGTACGTACGTATGTATGTATGTCCGTTTGTTTGTACGTATGTACGTATGTACGTGTTCACTAGTCACTAGTCCGGTACCCTGCAGAAGATGCTGGCGCACGCTAGCGATCTTTTTGTCCAGTGCCGGAAAAGTCGGTGTCCGGTCTGGTGCCGCCTGTACAGGGAGCACGGAGGCGGGCATCGGAACCGGACACGGAGCAGCAGCGGTTTCCCGTTTGGCCGCCAACCGGCCCCAGAGACAGAAGTCCAAGAGGCAGGTAAAGGCCAAAGGGAGAAGCCCAAAAAGGGCAGAAGAAGGGGATGGCGGCGGGAAGTCAAAAGCCTGCGGTACCGGAGAGGAACCGCTCGAGCATCCGCGGCTGCGGGTGCGGGAGCGGTTCCGTTGCGAGCCTAGCAAACAAACCCAATCAAAGCTCGGAATCGTTCACTAGTCACTAGTCCGGTACCCTGCAGAAGATGCTGGCGCACGCTAGCGATCTTTTTGTCCAGTGCCGGAAAAGTCGGTGTCCGGTCTGGTGCCGCCTGTACAGGGAGCACGGAGGCGGGCACCGGAACCGGACACGGAGCAGCAGCGGTTTCCCGTTTGGCCGCCAACCAATGTAACCATCGAGCTGCAGCTTGACCACAGCCGTGGTAAAGGCCAAAAGAGAAATCAAGCGGACAGATCCGGCACCTGGGCCAGGTAACCCGAGAAGGCAGATGAAGAAGGCGCCAAAGACAAGGACGGGGTGTCGGGAAAAGACCCCCAGTCAATTTCCACGGATTCCTGCGCAGAGAAGCCCAAAGCGGCAGGATCCTTGGAGCGGCTCAGCGCATCCGCTACGTCATTGAGCAAGCCGGGCACGTGATCCAGATAAACCGAGATACGGTGTCGGTGTTGAGCCAGAAAGAAAGAGCGAAGCACTGAGCACAGGCCAGTGGCGAGAAAAATCCCCTTCCAGCTGGCGGAGTCTGACGCAGCGTTGTCGCAGCGGAAGACACAGTGAACAGGCGCGTGACCGGCACCCAGCAAGGTATGCAGGAGCCGGATAAGCGCGCACTGAGCCAGAAGCTCCCAGGAGGCAATGAAGCTCTGCACAGAGTCAGAGAGTGCCACCCAAGGAAACAGAGAGAGAAAGTCTTCTGAAAGAAGAGCTGAGCTCCAGAGGGTAAACGGACGAAGCCCCCAAGGCCGGCTGAGGACGGAGAGGCACAAGCGTCTGCGAAGGCAGCACACTCAAACCGCGGAGCACGAAAGAGCGAGCGCAGCGATGTGCCTGATTCGGCCAAGTCCAGCCAGAGACGGAGGACATGCAAGGAGGCGTCCGAAAGAACACACAGATCCCCGTGTGCGGGGAGGCGGGGAGACGGCCTGGATCCAGATGCGACGCGTGTCAGGAGCCAACACAGGGAGATCAGACAGACGCTGCGCAGGCGTTTGTGCAACACGAGTGACGCGAGAGCCAGGGGGTAGAGCAGCAATGCCGATGCTGTCCAGCACCCGAAGGTCAGGCGACAGCTTGGAACGTAGCGTCTCCCAGCAGCGCGGATCCAGGGCAGTCATAGTGGGCAACAGTGAATGCTGGTCGGCGTACAGCGGAGCCAGTGTATACGGCGAAATTCCCGAAACAGGGACGAGAGCCAAAGGAGTTTCCCTGTAATGCGCTCCAGGACATGGGCGGAGCAGCGACGCGACAAAAGTGCCTGGCGAAGAAGAACACAGAGTCGCTGAAACTTTTCTGGGTCAAGGCGCACTGTAAAAACAGACAAGCGCAGACTGAGCAGGTCATCCACATATATATCTGCGCTGAGTGGCGGACACGTAGCAGACGGTGTATCAGACGAACAAGCAGCCCCGCTGCACGGGCCCAGAAGAAACTAGACACTCGTGCGCCAAAATTCAGAGTGGTGCATTGATACAGGACGTTTCTGCGGCGGAAACAGAGCAGCCCCCTGTCCTGTTTGCGGCGATGTGCCTTGGCAACATCAAGAACCAGAGCTACCAGCCAGAGAGGGGCATGCAGGAAAAGACGTCCGAGAGCGTGGGACTGGAAGAGCGGTTGGGGAGAACGGTGTTGGGAGTAACACCAGAAACAGGGGGAGCCGCACCAGCTGCGCCGACCTGGGGTCGTGGAGTAAGTCAAGGGCAGACCCGGCTAACAAATCGACTGGTTCAAGGCGGTCTTTGTGAAGAGCCGCCACGGCCAGAGAGAGCGGGGCTGAAGCACCCGAAAAGAGATCAAGAAAAAGGCGGCGAACAAACCGGCTGAAAGAGGGGCGGGCACAGGCTGGGGCGGCGGCTGGCTGGCCGAGGTCTGCCGGGATGGTGCGCCACCGGCAGCGGAAACACCTCCGGCGCCGCCCCAGGAGCCTCATGGGGCGGAAGCTGCGGAGACAGGGCCAGGCTGGCAGACACAGGTCCCACTTGGCAGGCACGTGCTGGCTGAACTCAGTGCTCCAGAGCCGTGTGCGGTTGGCCGCACGGTTTGCTGTTGGGGAGCGGAACCGGGCAGGCGTGCACAAACTTGCAGTCCTCCTTGGTACACTTCCCAATGGCAAGACGCACGCAGGCTTCCTTACCATTGATCTGCTTGTGCCATGTGGCATCGAAGCCCTTCGGAGGCGGATTCGGAGTGGCTTTGGCTTTGGCGCCAGGACGGCCCTTGCCTTCTTTCTTCGGAGGCGGGGGCTCGGCATTAGCGTCACTTGAGCCTGTTTGCAGGGAGCGCTTACGGTCGCTCTTGCCGCCAGGAGGACCGGGGCAAAGACGAGGCGGTCGCGGACGGGGCTGGAGGAGAGTGGCCATATCGCCTCTGCAAAAGGCCACCTCGTTGAGCGAGTCAGCGAGGCTCCAGCCATAATCCCGGAGCAGCTCCGAGATAGTCGCCCAAATGGCCGGGTCAGCGTGGACTATTTCTTGGAGTGACGGCGGGGGTAACGGTGTCGCTTCCGACCCCCCAAAAGGTGTCACTTCCGATCCCCCACAACCCGGACAGCCCGGACAACCCGGACAACAGCCCGGACAGCCCGGACAGATAAACAACACAGCCCGGACAACCCCACAAACAGCC